AAGGGGAACATCAAACAGTAGTTGAAGAATTCCCTCCCTTAAAACAAAAGCAGAACAGTGGCTGAGAGGGGGAAATAGAGAGTGGTTCAGTGGGTATAGTTTGGCAAGATGAAAAAGTTCGAGAGATCTCTTGCACAACAATGTGAATATACTTAACACCACTGAACTGTACACATAATGGTTAAGATAGTAAATGGTATGTTACGTGTTTTTCACAATTTAAAAATGTTTTTTAAAAATAATGCTTTACATTGAGTTTAGGGGATTGGGGAAAAGGTTCCAAGACCCTGAGAGAATGTGCCACAGTAAATAAAAGGGTTTACCAAAATGCACAGTCAGGTGGCGCACACCTGTAATCCTAGCACTCTGGGAGGCCGAGGCGGGTGGATTGCTTGAGCTTAGGAGTTAGAGACCAGCCTGAGCAAGAGTGAAACCTGGTCTCTAAAAATAGCCAGGTGTTGTGGTGGGTACCAGTAGTCCCAGCTACTTGGGAGGCTGAGGCAAGAGAATCGCTTGAGTCCAAGAGTCTGAGGTTGCTGCGAGCTATGATGCCACAGCACTCTACCAGGGGGGACAAAAAAGAGACTATCTCAAAAAAAAAAAAAATGCACAGTCAAGAGCACACCTGAGAAATGTTGATTCTGGATTATGAGTCTACCACTTAGGAGGTGAGTAACCTTCACAGGTTATTTAATTCTTGAGTCTCAGCTTCCTCGTGTGTAAAATAGGGGGAAATAGCAGCATTTATCTTCAGGGTTGTTAGGAGGCTTAAATTAACACATGTAAAAGGCTTAGGATCTATGCCAGTCGTTGTAAGAATTTCATAAAGGTCAGACTTTATTCTTATTCCCTCGAAACTTTGTACAGATTGTAGCAGTAGGCATATTGTTCCATAAGTAAATATACTAGAATTATTTGTACGTAAAACAATAGCCTAAAGGAAGGCTAACACATCAACACGTTCCTGAAAGATTTAGTTGTAACACAGCGTAACTCACAAAAGTCATCTGTAAGTAGTCAGGTAGATTTCAAACTTTTTTTTTAAATTTTGCTTTTATTTTATTTTATTATTATTATTTTTTTATAGAGACAGAGTCTCATTTTGTGTCCTTCAGTAGAGTACCATGGAATCATAGCTCACAGCAACCTCTGCCAACCCCTGGGTCCCTGGGTTTAAGTGATTCTCTAGCCTCAGTCTCCCAAGTAGCTGCGATTACAGGCACCTGCCAGAACACCCAGCAATTTTTGGTAGAGATGGGGGTCTCACTCTGGCTCATGCTGGTCTCGAACCTCTGAGCACAGGTGATCCACCTGCCTCACCCTCCCACAGTGGTGGGACAACAGGCGTGAGCCACCATGCCCAGCCATAAATTTCAAACTTTAAAAGAAAAAATCAGAAAAGGCCACTATTCCCCCACTATCTTATAGTTTATAAATATAGAGAACTGTATTTTATATTTTAAAAACTTTTCAGGAAAAGAGAAGAAAATGTGATACACTATCACACAATGAAAAGATCAGCATCAAACTCCATTATGTTTGCCAGGCATGGCATAGGCACCTGTAGTCCCAGCCACCTCAGAGGCTGAGGCAGGAGGATTGCTTTCACCCAGGAGTTCAAGGCTGCAGTGAGCTACGATCCTGCCACTGCACTCCAGCCTGGGTGATAGAGACTTTGTCTCAAACCAACTCTATTATGTTTAATTAGTACTAGTAAAAGAATAGACAACCAAATCAATTCAACAGGAGACCCTTTCCTTCCTGCCCATCACCACTACCTCCTTCCAAAATCATTCCCAGAACTTATAAGAACTTAATAGATGGTAAAGGTAACATATCCAATCACTGAGAAAAGGAAGGACTAATCCCTACAGAGTTAGGCACCAAGGGATAATATTCTGGAAAGAAAAATACACTTCTGTATCATTATAGATCAAAATAAATTTCAGCTAGATGAAAGACTTTAGTATAAAACCATGAAACCACACAATACCTAGAAGAAAACTTAGATGTATATTTATTTAATCTTGGAGGTTTTGATCCTGAGCATAAAAGCAAACTAAGTAAGAAAATACTGACATATTTAACTATGTAAAAATTAACTCTGGAAAAAAAAACACGAATGGCAAATTTTCTTTCATTTTTATTTTTGATCAAAAGTGCACATACTATAAGGTTACATTGTTTGCACAAGGTAAAGTCTGAGCTGTAATTGAGTCCTTCACCCAGGCAGTGTCCCATATACCCCTACATTGTACCTGTTAGGCAGGAACTTAGAGAATACCCCTTCTTGAATTTATTTTTCTCTCACGTGGGCCTTTAGTTGTTGACCTACTAATTTCAACATAGTAGTGAGTACATGGGATGCTTGGTTTTCCATTCTTGAGATACTTAAGAAGAATGTTCTCCAAATCCAGGTAAATACAAAATATTCAAAGTCTCCATCTTTTTGATGGCTGAATGGTATTCCATGGTATGCATATACCAGAGTTTATTAATCCATTCATAGGCTGATGGGCCGTGCATTGTTTCCACATCTTTGGGACTGGGAATTGAGCTGCTATAAACATTTGAGTGCAAATATCCTTATGATAAAAGGATATTTTTTCTTCTGGGTAGATACCTAGTAATGGGATTGTGTGATCAAATAGGTCTACTTTCAGCTCTCTGAGGATTCTCCATACTTTTTTTTTTAAGAGACAGAGTCTCACTCTATTGTCCTAGGTTGAGTGCTATGGCATCACAGCTCACAGCATCCTCCAGCTCTTGGGTTTAGGCGATTCTTTTGCCTCAGCCTCCCGAGTAGCTGGGACTACAGGTACCCACCACAACACCTGGCTGTTTTTTTTGTTGTTGTTGTTGCAGTTCGGCCGGGGCTGGGTTTGAACCCACCACCCTTGGCATATGGGGCTGGCGTCCTACTCACTGAGCCATAGGTGCTGCCTCTCCATACTTTTTTCCACAAAGATTGTATTAGTTTGCAATGCCACCAACAATGCATAAGTGTTCCTGTCTGCATGCAAGCCAGCATCTGTAGCTCTGGGACCTTGTGAATTGGGCTATTCTCACCAGGGGTAGGTGATACTTCCAAGTAGTTTTGATTTGCATTTCTCTGACCCTTAGGGATGATGAGCATCTTTTTGTTTGTTGACCATCTGTTCTCTTGGGAAAAAATATTGTTTATGTTTCTTAAAGGGGTGGTTGGTTTTTTCTTGTTGATTTGCCTCAGTTCTTTGTAGATTCTGGGTATTTGCCCTTTGTCAGATTTGTAATGTGTAAATATCTTCTGCCATTCTGAAGGTTAAGTATTTGCTTTGTTGATTGTGTCCTGAGCTGTGCAAAAGCTTGATCAGGTCCCATTTATTTATTTTTGTTGTTGCTGCAATTGACTGTGGGATCTTCTTGCTAAATTCTTTCCCAAGGCTGATATCATTAAGAGTTTTTCCCATA